AGAATAAGTTTGTCGATCCCTACTAGACTACTAAGTGGTGATTTGCTCAGATCTCTCATTTTGCAGATGAGAAAAATAAACAATAATATCACGGGGGTGGAGGGTTCCACTTGGCGGCATGGGACAGACTGAAGAAGAGAGATAGATGGCCTCCTGCAGATCAGTCCTGGGCTGGGGCAGGGTCAGCAGTCAGGAATTGCTAGCAGTGGAATGTCTACAATGTGTAAAGACCAAGGGAGGTTGAGTCATAATTCTAATAATTCCTGCAGAAACTTCCAAGAGGAGATAACAAAGATGGCATTAAGGATGGAGCCAGACAGTGCAAGAATCAGTGATAGATGCCTGGGTCCCACCTGTGGGGATGGGGAGACTGGATAGGATTCTCAGCAACAGACGGACCTGGATCCTGGAGGCTGGGCCACAGAAGTGGTACCTAGAATATAAATCTTGGTGTATGGGGTAATCCAGAAATCAGGGCAGATGAATTAGCAACAAGTGTTAGGTTGGAAGTGGGTGAGGTGAGTCCATAAAATTCTTAAAAATTCTTCTAATGTGTATCCATCAGGGTCCTAGTAAGAAACATGGGCCCCCCTCAAATGAAGATAATCGGAGGAAAGTGCCAGGGCTGTTCCGTGTGATGGACAGAATGCAGCAGAACCAGTGTTTTACTGGTCCCTTTCACTCACGGCAGAAATAATAGAAATGCTGGGGGGAGATTCTGGCGGTGGTCCTTTTCACTTTTGGATTATTTCTTTTGAAGAGAAAAAGAGTTCTAACTACTATTGACTCAACTGTTTCATCCTACTTAGGGGAAAAGTTAAATAAATTAGAACATTATTCTGGCTGGATTAGGTTGGCCAGCATGAAGCTACCCTTTGAATAATAATGTACTTTGAGCTAAAGTGCATTCTCTTTCTGAACCAGAAAAATAAGCATGGGCTTGACTTATATGTTTCCAAGGGGATAAAAGCTGTCTGCAGAAACCTGCTTTGCCTTTCTCACTCAACTCCCATTTTTAGATAATCTCACACATACACACACACACATACACCTTTAAAAAATAGTGCCTATTTACTTCATCATGAAGTAGTACCAAGATCATGGTATTTGGGAGTCTTTTTCAAAGTCAACATGTTACCAGCAGAAATTTATTTTTGGCTATGTATTTATTCATTGCCTCTTGAAACATTCAGTGAACATGTACTACTTGCTCACTTCCATAAGAGGCACTGGAAGCATGAAAAAGATTTGAATCTCTGCCCTTGAGTAGCTCACGACTGCCCTAGGTGGGAGCCAGTCAGACATTAAAAAAAAAAAAAAAAGACAATGCATTAAGAGTGACAATAAGAATACATGGAAAGGGTTATAGGGATAGTTGGGTAATATTTTTTGAGGTCCACATGTTGTAAGGAATATTTGGATTCTTACAATAGTAACAAACCACTGGTTCCCCCCTTGCAGTCACGACCTGACAGTTTTACTGAACCAGAAAAGGTTACTGTGTACACAGTACATGTAATTTACACAAGAAGAAAACCTCATAAATTTATTTGTCTCCTTAGAGTGGTATTTCAAAGAACAAAATTATAGGTAGAACACAATTTCAATGCAGATGGTTAAGTATGCTTCGTAATTATTAGAAAATATTCAGAGCAGAACTTACGAGTATACTGCATCACTCTGGAGTTGTTATATTATTCTAGCAATACGTAATCGAATGGAATTATTTCCATATAATTTTCTAAGAACTGAGGCATTTCTGTGGCACCCATAACTTTGGAGGGCTTTATGTTCAAATACTCTTACTGGTTTTTATTATTATTTTTTGTATTGATGTTGTGATGAGTACCAACAAGACTGGGTTATTTTACTTACATAGTAAGTGAGGCCACTGGATTTTTTTGTTGGCAGAGACAGGTACTAAGTTTAGGGATTGTCCACCAGGTAGGAAGAGGAGGGCTAAATCTGAAATCTGAATTTAAGGAGCATTGGAAATACCTGCAGCCACTGAATTTCTTACCATTAATTTTTTCTCTCAAAACCATCTGCAGATGGGTGCATATTAATTGGCTTTGGGCATTCTGTTACCTAGCAGGAGTAACACATTAGACAGCTAAAATTAGCAGCGAGGAAAAAAAGGTGAAAATACAAAGCGTGGTGAATCAGAGTAGGTGGGTATTATAGCAGGAAACCCTGACTGCCAGGTGAGAGGCATCCTTCATCTCTGTGAGATGCGGAGTGGCAAAAGGTGCTTGAGGCATGTTACTGAAAAACCATGCTATCTCACACTTACATGCAGATCTGAGTGTGCAGGGTGACGACTGGGGTTATTTACGCTTCACACTGCCACACATTTTTATAGCATGCTTTTCATTTCATGGATTTGAATACATCAGTGATCAGGGTGATGTGTGAGCGGCAATGGAGGAAGCCAGCAGGAAAATTGGAAAGCAGTTGGCTTTCATCTGTTTTGTCTAAGCGTAGGGGGGGAAAGTCTCCTCAGCCTTAAAAAGCATTATAATAATGAAAATGTTAATGACCAAAATAAGAACAGCTACAAGTTGTACAGAGCTTACCATGCACTAGGCACTGTTTTATGTACATCATCTCATTTAATGTTGCCTGTGCTTCCCCCCATGCTCCCCAAACGGTAAACATCTCTTCCAGAACTGCTAGTTCACCTTCTCATAGCAACACCATAAAGGGATTGCACTTTATTTGCAATTCCAGATTTATAAAGTCTTCTTCATTCTTGACCTTGTTAGAGCTTTGAGATGATGAACAGAGTGTCCCTTTCCTCCTCACCCAAGGCCAGGCTCGGACAAAGGGAGTGTGCTTGTTGGCCAGGCAGCCCTGGACACTGACTGTAGTAGGAGGAAGACTCCTGGTACGTACGTCTCTACTGACAGACCTACAGAGTGGAGACCAGCAGCTACCGCCGCCCCACCTCCCTGTTTCAGTTCCCACCTACTTCTCGGACTCAGAGCCCTCATTCACTTATACACAGCGCCAGGGCAGGAGAATGACCTTCCTGCCAATCCTAACACCCTGCAATCCCAGCGAACACTAGTCACTGTTCTAAGGGTAAAGTGGTAACGAGGCAGATCCATCTTGGACGCCTTCCAAGAACCCTGGTGCCAAGAGGAAGGCCTGAGAAAATAGGCAGGGAAGAGGGAGCCCCAAATATTGTTAGTGGTTTACTACAGAGACTTTGTTGCTTTTCAGGAGAACCTGATCTCCCTTACCTGCCTGGTGCGTAGAGACTCAGACTCACTGTCCTTTAAGCAAAGAGGTGCTGCAATTCTACCCCTTTCAACAAGCTACTGATAGAAGGAACCAGTCACTAACACCTAGGGCACTTTTACTTTTTAAGCGCTGCCCCCCCCTCTTTTTCTTCCTTCCTTCCTCTATGTATTTTCTTCTAAACTTTGCTTTCGTTTGTGATATTTAGATATGCTGTTTTCTCTCCTCTGGGTGTGCTCTTGGGTTTGATCTAATTGGCCTGCTGTTCTAGTGTCATTTGGCATTATTGGGAAGATGAATGGGACTGGGGTCAGAGTTCAGCAAGAAGGCATCTGCTCACTTGCATTGCATACAAGTGCTCAGAGATGATCTTTAATGAAAGCTTGGAAAAGATTTGCATAGCGTAGGTTGTCTTCTAGCCCTCCAAAGCTGAGTGACCAAAAGGCAGCCCTTCTCCAGGGGGATCAAAATGGAATAAACAGGAGGTAGGCATATCTTCACAAAGAGTTCCCTGCTGGGGATGTCTTCTGCAGGACAGAAAATGGGAAAGACAGGGTGATCAAACTGGGAGAAGGTTGGAAATGGAAGCTCTTGAATGGGTCCCCACCACTGGCCTGTTTTGCTCATAGAACAATCTCACCAAAGAGGAGTTTCCACTCCACTCCACTCTCAAAGCCTCTCACCCAGTGTCTCCGCTGGCCTCAGGTTACTGCACCATCGCCACAGCGGGCTCAGGTTCTTACTGGGCTCTCTTCGCGTTGACAGTTCTTACACTTTACCAAGTAGCCAGAATCCCCACTTAGGAAGAAATGCTTTTTATGGCACGGGGTGGGGTGGGGTGGGGGGCAAAGGGGACAATGGATCTATTGTTCTTTTGGCCTTCTTGAATAGGGCAGATGTCTGCCTCCCCCGAACCCGGCCTCCAAAGGAGGCTGAGTATGGAGCCCTCTGAGACTCACCTTCCTCCCACTCCTGCTTTGTTTTCTGGAAGAAGGTTTTTGTATCGCCCTCCCCGCCCTCGTCCCACCAAACCTGTCTGGGGACCCCGGTGGACAGTTTTCTTTTTCTGCGCTTCACAGAGTGGAAGTTGGGAGGGGAAGAATGAAGCACAGATCAGATAACTCATTTTAATTCATGCGAAACCTGCTGCCCTTGGTTCCTCCTGGACCTCCGGGGAGAGGCACCAGAGTCCCCCACAGTGCAGAGGCAGGAGAGCGGTGCATGGGAACCCCGGAGCCAGCAGTAAAAATGCACGGAGAGGAGAGCCCAGCGAAGATGGATCGGGGAACTCGCTGCGGGCTGCGGGCTCCGCACCGCAGGTGCTGGGGAATCCCAGCGCGGGGCGCACCTTTGCTGTCGGGTTTCCCAGTTGCCTTCCGGGAAGCCGGTGGAGTCCCTGAGGCTCGGGTGGGCGCAGTCACGCTCGCCGGGACCCGCAGCTCTCGCTCCTCCCTCTGCCTGAGCTCCGGAGTGAGCGCTTAGAGTCCCTCTCTGAGCATGCGCAGCCCGGTGTCCTCCCCGCCCCTCCCGCCCCCAGGCCGCCCCCTACGCCCCCTCCCCGCCAGCCTTTTGCTCCTTCCTTTCATTAAACAAGCAGGAGATCCTGAAACCTGGACCCTGTGCCAGCGGCAGCACCGGAGAAGGCAGAGGCAGAGCACGGGATGGGCGCCGAGGGGGATCTGTGATCCCGCGCACCCCCACCCCACGCGCGCGCGCGCACACACACACACACGCATACACACTCGCACTAACACACACTCGTCCACGCCCGCGCCGCACGCTAGCCGGCTCGCTCTCCCACGCAGGCGGAATGCAGCAGAGCCCCGGGAGCGTGTCTCCGGCCGCTGCCTGAATGCACCTCGCTCCCGGGAGCCGGACGGCCCAGTAGGGCGCACCGGAGGACGCTCCGCCACCAGAGGTGAGTAGGGCGCCCGCAGCGGCGGGCTGTCCCGGGACTCCGGGCAGGGTCAGGTTCCCAGCCGGACTTGACGGTGCAGGTGGCCCAAACCCAGCTTGCGGGTTTCAAGGTGCAGATGAACACGGCGCTGGGGTTGTGCGAGGCGAGAGGGAGATCCCAGGGAGGGTCGCCTCCTTCGAGGTGTCAGATTGACCCAGCAGAAGGCTACACTGTCCCCGCTCGTAAACTTTCCTCCCTTGTCATTTGGGAAACGTGGAGACAAAGGGGGCGTGGAGGCTCCCTCTGTCCCGTTCCACCCTCCTGGCTGGATTCCTGGCTGCGACGGGAGCCGCTGTGCGGGGGCGCCCTGCAGGTAGCAGATGCCAAGTCCTCTCCGCCAGGGCGGGGGTTGGGATTCTCACCCCGAGCTGTAAGTGTGGCCGTTGAATTTCCTTCAGGCGGGGGCACCTGTCATCCTTTTCCTTCTCCCAACCCCGCACTCAGGCGCTTCGTAGCGGAGGGCGGGGGTGGAGGGGGGTTGTCACCTGGAGGATTGGAGGGGCAGCCTTTGGCTTTCTTATTCAGCGCCTGTGCCAGAGGCGCCGGGGTGAGGCTACGGTCAGTGCGGGGATGAATGATGAGTTACTGAAAGGCTTACCATAATCACCTCCTAGAAACGCTGGGCGCCAGGATCTCTCCTCCCCCGGGAAGGTGCTGTCTTCACGCACACCCAGGCGGCAGCACTGGGAGCTGGGCAGGGGCTGCTGTGGCAGCGGCTGCAGCCAGGGGAAGCTGGGCTTTATTTTTGCCCTGGGGTTTTATGACACACACGTGGAAAATGTGGAGGATTCTGGGTTATTTTTCTTTGTGGGGATATCGTTTTCCCTTTTAGCCACTTTCGTGGGAAAGATTCTCTGCAGCCCGATACCTAGCTGTGGACAAGCACCGTTCCTTCGGTCCCAGGGAAGAGCTCCCGAGAACAGGATTCCCCAAAATGCCAGCCCCATTGGGTCGGAGTCTCAGAGTGCGCCTGGGAATTGCCTCAGATCTAATGGCGCTTACAAACAGCAGAGACTGGGTCAGCGTGATAGGGGTCCAGGACCGGGACAAAGGCAGTAGAAGAGGGACAGATGATGGCCGTTTAGGAGAGGAGTGACTAGAGGCCAATTAAGTGGGAAGAGGTCGAGTGTGAGGCAAGGTACTCAGCAGTCTTATGGGAATTCATATATCACTTCTACTTCTGTTGCGGTAGGTGGCTTTTATTCATCAGTGGGACTCTAATTTGGAGGTTTCTGGAATATCACATCTGGCCCATAAAAGACTGGATTATTCCTTGGCTAACCTTTAGCACGATTACAAATCCATTCTCTAAGTCTAGAAAACACAATGTGTGAGGGTTTCCATCTTGACATTTTGTTTACAGCTGGGCCATGGGGTGGGCAGATAAGGTGTATTTTTGACTCTTCTCTACCTCGGGAGCTTTGGATTTGTAAAAGTGCGTGGGGACTCTGGAAGCCAAGCTGACCCTGACAGAAGAAGGCACTGGAAGCCGAGACCCGGGACCTGCGGCTGTGGGTTGTTAGGTGGTTGGTTCCCTCTTTACTTGGAGGTGACAGGTGGAGTCCTCTCTCTACCGCTTCGGGGACCTTTTCTGATTTTTGTTTCTAAAATTTTGTAGCTTTTTTGAAGTGGGAGAAAACATGATATACATGACGTTAATTGAGAAAGTTCACATATGAAAGAGACCTTGATTGGTAAGTCAACATAGTGAAAGGTGAAGTTTTTGAGAAAGGAAAAAAGGAAGGAAATTAGGACAGTGATGAGTGTTATGGAAACAGCTTTACTTTTATGATATTTTGAAAGCACTGTGGCATGTTAAAAGTAAGATAGAAACCTGAAAGTTGTTTTTTTTTTTCTTTTTTAAACTAGTGAAGTAAAGGCCTTTCCAGAAATATTTCCCAGAGTTAATTGGCATAGAAGGGGCTTAAGTATAATTGTCAGGATATGTCCTTTTTCCTTCATGGTGAACATTCTCATCATTTTCTTTGCCAAACTTGGCAAGAAAAATTTAAGATTTTTTTTAGCTTTTTACTAGCCCTATATTTTCTCTCTTTATGATTTACTTTCTTTTCCTACAGCTGCAAGTTCAATTTATTTTATTATATAAGACTGTACTTAGAAGTATTCATTATAAATTCACCTACCCCATATTTAGCATTGGAGGTAGTATAAAAATGTGTAACAGTGTTCTGATCCTCAGAGGGGTTTATGATGTAGTTGTAAATACAAGGCAGACACACAAGACGTAATTCAAGAGTAAGATAGCTCTGCATTTTACCATAAGCTCGTAACATGTATGCTATTTTCTCTATCCTTGCTCCTTGGGGGCTTTTTTCACTTTTAGACAGCATACCTCAGCACCTATTATGTAGTGGAGGCTGGAAAGAAAAAAAACAAAGGAAGTAAAATGTAGCTCCAGTTTTCAAGGAGGAGGAAACATAATATAGTATTTAGCCAACTGTGATGCAGTCTGATTAATCGCCATAATGCTAAGGCAAATCAAGTGCCAATAGTACAGACATGTAAGTGAATTTCTCCCCCCCCTTGGGGATATGAGCAGGCAATCTTTGAGATATTTTCAAAAATGAATAGTCCTCTACCAGGTAGGGAGGGATGGAAAGGACATCCCAGGCTGAGGAAATCTGTGAGGGTGTGCGATGAATTAGGGTAACTATAAGCCATTCTACATAGTAAGAGCACATGATGCTGGAGTGTGGATATGAAGATACAGCAACTGGATGATACTGATTAACAACTAATGTCATGGAGTAAATATTTGGCTACAGATACGCGTAGGATGCCATGGAAGCACTTAGGGAGGGCATCCACCTACAGGACGGAAAGGAGATCAAGAAAGTTTCTTAGGGAGCTTGAGGTGGCTGGTAATTGAAGGACAAGAAGTAGGGAAGGGCTTTCCAGGCAGAAAAAACTACGCAAGAGTTGGGAGTAGTTCTGTGTGACTTCAGTGAGAGATCTGGAGTTTTATTTTTATTTTTTTATTTAATTTAATTTTATTTTTTATCGATTATGCCATTACAGTTGTTCTATTCCCCCTTCATTCCCCTCCACCCTGCACCCCCATCCCCACCATTACCCCCCCTTTAGTTTATGACCATGTGTCTCAAGTTCTTTAGATTCTATATTTCCCATACTATTCTTGCCCCCCCCATATATTTTCTATCTACCATCTGTGCTACTTATTTTCTATACCTTCTCCCCTTTTCTCCTCCTCCCACTCCCCTGCTGCTAACCCTCCATGAGATCTTCATTTCTACGTTTCTGCTCCTGATCTAGCTGTCCTCTTAGTTTGCTTTTTTTGTTTTAGGTGTGGTTGTTAATAACTGTGAGTTTGCTGTCCTTTCACTGTTCATCTTTTTTATCTTCTTTTTCTTAGATAAGTCCCTTTAACATTTCATATAATAAGGGCTTGGTGATGATGAACTCCTTGAACTTGACCTTATCTGAGAAGCACTTTATCTGTCCTTCCATTCTAAATGAAAACTTTGTTGGATAGAGCAATCTTGGTTGTAGGTCTTTGGATTTCATGACTTGGAATACCTCTTTCCAGCCCCTTCTTGCCTGTAAGGTCTCTTTTGAGAAATCCGCTGACAGTCTGATGGGAACTCCTTTGTAGATGACTATCCCTTTATCTCTTGGAGTTTTAGTTCCATGGCATAGCAAACCATCGGGCCATGGAGATAGACAGAGATTAAATGTGAATGGAAATATCCCAAGCAAAAGAGCTTCAGTTTTATCCAAAAGGCTAGGAGAGAGTCTAGAAGTCGGGAAGGTTTGAGATGATCAGATACGCACTAGAGAAGGAAGGTCTGTGACCGCTGTGTGGAGGATGGGTTGCAGGTGGTGAGGCTGGGAGCAAGCAGCTTATTGTGGAAATACAGGCGTGAAATAGTAAGGATGGAGGCAGTAGGGGTGGAGCGGAGGACCTGGGACTGGGAGACAAGTGGCAAAGAGAACCCCGCTGATCTAAGAGGGGCCTCCCTCTCTGTGCTCCCCCTCTGCCCTCTTCTTTCTTAGCATTCACTTGCATGGCTCACTCTGCTGTATTTTGGGGTGGCGGTAGCCACAGCTGCACCTCCAGCATTCATCACAGGCTTGGTACAGAGTGGGGAATCAATAAATATTTGTTAAATGAATGATTAAATCAATGAATGAGGAGCTTCAGTCATGAAGTGATGATTCCTGCATAAGAAGAGTAGACTTCCATTTTTCCGAGGTGATCAAGTTTTGCGAGGTCAATGACAAAATGAGCCAGGGAGACTACCTCTATAAGGAACTGTCCTATGACGTGCCAATAAAAAAGCGGCATCATGACATGACATTTTTATATATTAAAAATTATATTGTCAGCCCCTCTTGCAGGCAACAGCATTTCGTGCCATTCCTGATTCCTAGCCCCCTGGCTTATATGGATTTTCTCATTTCAGGTGCTTTGCTTAAACTTTTCAGGTAATCTTGGGCCAGGGAATTTGTAAGAGACAGGGTCTCATTTAAAGAGCTCACAGCATCTTGGCATCCGAGGATGAGGGCTGAACCACGTGTGTTCCAGTCATGACCATGCAGCCCTAGGAATTGGGTCCCTTACTGAGCCAAACCCAAGTATATTGAGTTACAATCTTAAAATCCCAATAAGAGATCTCAGAATGGGTAAAACCATGAGCATTTGTTTTCAGGTTGACTACAGGGGCTGAAAGAGAAGGAGTTATCAAAGATAACGTCTTGGGATTGACCTTTGGCAGCTGGCTGAATGGCAGCAGAGGAAAGGGGGAGGGATGTGAACTTAGAAAAGTGGAAGTCTGAGTGCTATTTTGTGGAAATTAATTTTGGGGTGAGCCTGGAAGATCCTGGAAGGCACATAGCGCAGATCGCAGTGTGTAGTGATTTCACAGTAAGTGCCAGCTGTTGTTTTTATTAAGGGAGAGGCTGGAGAGAGCAGGAGAGCA